TCTTTAGGGAAAATTTTTTTTAACTTATATGAAAAAAAATCCCACTTTTCTATTGGTAATTATTAATTAATTTACATTTAACATCAATATCGTGACTAGTTGTGATCTTTTTTTTCCTCCTTAAAAGCACATGCAAGGTTAGTGGTTCTCCATTCCACAAATATTTATAAAACTTATCTATTTCTCATATAACTTGGCTTTATACTGACAATATTCAAATGCAACCTATAAATTAATTTTCAAAAAGGTGGTTACATGTTACCATGAAATACAATGCTCACATGGCATTTGACTAGAGTAAGGTTCTATGATTAGCCTATAAAATGGTAGTTGGGATAAACTAATATAGTAATTAAACCTTAAAACAACCACCTACGTACCTCCTATATTAATTAAGAATATATATATACACATATGATTATTAAATAATGGATTCATTGCAGGTTTTTAACTTAATTCTGTTGAGACAATTTCTAATTAAAGGATATTTCGATATTATTGGAGCATCATGTCACCATTTTAAATCAGGCTTGAAAATTGCCATTTTCACTTAATTATTCCATGCATGATATGATACGAAAGAGAGGTGATGAATATATACACAGAGAAACAACAAGAAGGGAAATGATGTGATGACGTGGTTGAGAAAATAATTGAATTATGAGTTGATGGATTATAAATTTAAGTGGTGACTGATATTGAAGAATGATGAAAGGGGGAAGATTTTAATTAATTTTGAAAATGAAGGGAGTATATGGGACAGAGGGAGTAATGAAAGTCACATGGGCAGTGGGGAAAATATAAACAGGAGATGCATTTATGCATAAGGTGGGAGTTAATTGAAAAATGGAATTATTTGAGAGCCTAAGTCAAAGTTGTGCTTCCCACTCGTGCAATATAATTTATCTTATTTAATAATGTTGTGAATATGACCCTCCTTTCTTCATTGTACATCTCCTTTCATTTATGTCCGTGGTTCTCCACCTTTATTTTAATTTCAATGGGGCCCATCTTGATTTTCACATTTCATGGTCTTTATACACACACACACGCATATAAACGCATCAAACCAAAAAAAAAATCAAAGGATTGAGACTACTCTTCTCGTCATCAAGAATATCTCCTGTGTATTATTTTAATTTGATTATATGTTGGCATGCGCACACTTATTAAGACATATCAATAATTTTTTTTAATAATTATATGGTATTCAAAAAGCTATGAAACTCACGAGTTAAGTAAACTCATAAGAGTTTATCCCTATTTATATTATAAGTATATGATTAAATAAGTAAAATGCAAAAAGAGAAACCACAATTTGGTTTAAATATATTTCAAACCCAAATCATTAAAATTAAATATATTAACATTCATAATGGTTCAAATATATTTCCAATCCAAATAATTAAAATCAAACATATTAACATTCATAATTTATCATAGTCAATATATAAATTTCTATAAAATTCATATATATAGTTAAAGACACCAATCAAACTGTATAATTTAACTGTTAAATTTAATGAAAGATAACAGTCAGGATATTTTTGTTAAGACAATAAACCTTCAGGACATATAAAAGCTAAAAAAATTCCAGTTATTAAGTTCTCTTTTATAGATACTTTTCGTAACTAATACAAATTAAATTTAAGAATAAGTTCACATGATTTTTTAAATAAACTTGACAAATCAACTCATAAGGTGGAACGGCATCCATTATTGCCAAATCACAATTGATCACTATTTAGTTCAAAAAAGTCGTTTTCTTTAGTGTAGTTTCTTTATATGTGTGAGATTAATGATGGTTTTATTTGGTTATTTAGAGCGTAATTGCGTGTGAAGTGAAATGAGGGTGAAAAGAGGCCATATAAGATGTATGAAAGGTCTTATCGTGATGACAAGCTTATGAGTCACACATCACAATATTGCGATGACACAATTTCACATCTTTTTTCATTCAGTGTCAAAGAAATCAACTTTTTCACTTTCGGATGTGTGGGACGATGTCGTTCCATTTATATCAATCCCATTCCCTTCCGCCTTTTTCCCTTGGCCTCAATATCACTGACCCTCCAGCTGGCACTTCATTTTTCACTTCACTTGTTTTCTTTATCCACTTTTGTTACTGCCATGAAAATGAAGGCGGAAATTTGATGTTGACCGACTCCTAAATGGAACTACTCACACACATACAAAACATATATATATATATAATATCCTTCCTATTGATCCATGGCACATACCAAGACACGTGCTGAGAAGGAAGGAGAGCAGCGTCATGAAAAAAGGAGGAGCAAGTTGAGAAGCAATACACAGTAAAGATGAAATGAAATGGGGGAAGAAGGAAGGAGGAATAACGAAGCAGGCGATGATGAGAGAAGGAGGAAGCATGGAAGCATTGAATAATGATCGATAATGCCCGTCGTCAGGAAAGCTTAGGGCCTTATCGTCAAAGAAACAAGCCCCTCACGGGTCCCACACGAACTTCATCTCCCTTCTTGCTTGTACGTGACCACACACGCTCCCTTCTTATTCTCCCCAATCAAAGCCACCCAGTACCCCCCCCCAAAAACAATCCCGTCACTTACTCTCATATAATAGTTTCATACAATAGTCTCAAATCTTAAAAAAAATAAAAAAAATGATATTATATAAAAAAATTAAAAAAAAAGAACCGGGACGGGACCGGGATGAGACGACCCCGTCCTGTCCCGTCCCGGTTTGTCCCGTCTCGTCCCAATAAGACCGGAACCAGAACGGGCCGACCGGGACGGGCCGGCCTTAAACACTCCTAATCAAAGCCACCTAGTACCCCCCCCCCCAAAAAAAAAATCCCCGTCACTTACTCTCATATATGTCTCGCCATGCTCATGTAGAAATTTAGGAGCTCATCAGAGAATAATTTTAATTTAGAGGTTATGGTTTTATGAATTCGACTTTGCTGTTACAGTTTTAAATAAGACTTTATAATTAGAATTAGAGATAGTACTTCAATTCCACCTCCAAAAATGTATGCATGCATGCCGATCATATTAGAATTGAATGGTTAAATTATTTTAAGTATCAACGAAGACAATTTCATGACAGTCAATTATTTAAGTGGTAATGACGAAAACGGCCAAACGAATGAGGGAGCCTACAGATCCAACGCGGTAGGGTCACATCCACGAGACTATCCTTCATGCAAACGCAATCCGTTTCTCTCTTTCCTTTTTATTTATGGCCAACAATAAATCAGCTTTCGTTCATCTCAAACTGAGTTCCTGTATCCATAATTTTAACTATAAGCTCAAGCCATTTTTTTGGTCTTTTTTAATTTCAACTTTAAAAAAATGATTTTTCATTATGTTATCTCAATAAAAATTATATTACATTAATTTTTATCTCAATTCCAAAATTCGATGAATTACTAATCTTAAAAAATTAGATAATAATAATGCCAGTTGCTGAGAGGGTTGATTCACAAACAAGAAAAAATAAAATAAAATTCATTTGATTGGGTTATTTTTATGTGTTCTCAAAAAATAATTTTTGCTGCGCTGTTATCTTTTATTTTTTAAATTTTATTAGGGTTTTTATTGATTAAAACTTTTGAGTTATCTTGTGACAAAAAATACACTTTTACCGGGTATCGTGATGCCTCACTACACAATTGTTGGTTTTGTTACCGGCTCTTGTTTATGATTTACAATTTCTTGGTAAATGGGGATAAATTGCACATGTTAATTCAAACAGGGTCTTAATTATTTAAATTAATCTTGTTTTTCTATGTTCTATTATTCAAATTCACATTATATAATAAGTTAATAACTGACAGGATGAGCATGGATAAAGATGAGAATAAAAATATTCTCTTAAAAATAGAAGCGAAAATAAAAACAACAACACCCAAAACAACAAAGAAGAGAAAGGAGAATCTTTAAAGTGGAGGGAGGAGATAAGCATGGTGATAAATAATAGGTAATAAAAGACAAGTTAAAAGTGGGGGCATCAGGCAACCCCCGAGTTAAATTCTGATGACAGTAAAACTCTGCCCCTCTCGGCCTTTAGAATCTCTTTTTCATCTTTTAAGCTTTAAATCCCAGCCACTTTCATCAACCCACTGTAACTTTTTTTTTCCCCATATCCCATTTATAATTTTAATTTTTTGAAAAAAATAATAATAACAATAACAGTAACGATTAAAACAAGAGCATACAGGACAAGAATATACTAAAAAGGCGCTGAAAGAGATATTTACTATAACTAAATCCACACATTCCCCTAACACGTAAACTCTGCATTTCAATCGCTTTCCTCCTTAATTTAATTTATATAATATATTTAATCTTTTATTGTATCAAAAAAAAAATTTAATCTTTTATGGTTGGCAAAAAAAATAATACAGTAGTATTTTTTTTTTTTTTATGACTCTGATATTTTCATGTGCCTGGCAAGCCTTGGATTGGGTGTTCCCTCTGCATAGCATCATGCACGGGATATGGCAGTGAGAGACGTTACACAATTATCCATTCTTAAATCTCTTGAGTGATTCTACTAAACTGCTACTAGTAAGCTAATAATAATAGGCGTAATTAATTATTAATAAAATTATTTTTGACCTAATTAAATATATATTTTTTATGTAGTATTTAAAATGAGTTTTACTCAAATTTCATGGGATTAAACCCAAAAAACACAGAAATTTATGAGAGAATTCCCGCATTGAATTCCCCTCTCACTCGCTTTCCCCACTGACGTCCGCTTTGGGAACCCACCACATTATAATAACACCGACTGTAATTATTAAAAAAAAAAATTAGTTAAATAATTTTTAGTTTTTTAATTATCTCAATCATATTAAAATAGTGGTGGGCCTCTCGAGGCAAAGAAGGCCCAGGTGATACCCACTGCCACACCTTCTGCTTACTTCCTTTTTCCGATCTCAACCATCTCCTTTTATTTATCTATATATATACACGCACACACCTCCCGTCTCTTCATTCTTGGTTCTCTGCTTCACTCTGTTTTGCTACTCTCACTCTATCTCCTGACCTTATTCCCTGTTTCGCTCTGTAATCCATGGCTGCTTCTGCGAATTCGTGTGGTGCGGATAGTGTGCCTCCCTTCTACTTCGACGAGAAGTGGAAGTTGTCCAAGAAAGAGGCTTCTTCTAGAAGCCGCTCTTCTCTTTCTTCTTCTTCGTCTTTCATGAAGAATTCGAGCACCACTCAGAGGCGGTGTGCGTTCGCCAGAAAGTGCGCGAGGCTCGTGAAGGAACAGAGGGCTCGATTCTACATCGTGAGGCGCTGCGTCATTATGCTTATCTGCTGGCGCGACTATGGCGATTCTTGAAGACGCAGCTAAGAAAGGCGATTTCCGAGAGATACTCGCAACAGAAAAGTCTATCTCTCTCTCCCCACCTCCTTTTTCCAGATCCTTGACGAGGAAAGACTCGGAAGAGATTATACACCTGTACATATAAAGTTCTTTTTCTTTCTCTCTTTGTTTTTCTCAGGTGGTTTAGGCTTGGAATAGAAACTTTTTTTCCTTCTTTTTTTCTTTTAAAGGGCTCTGAACCTCCATTGACGGAGGTTTCTTGGTGGTGGTAGTGTTAATAGTGCTATAGAAGAGGGACTAGAATGAAGGAATTTATGAATTAACATACAGTTTTGTTTGGTGCTTAATCTTCTTGGCTTTATTGTGATACTGTGGAGTTGAATTTGTGGCACTGTCTGTTTGCTATTTCTGGGTGTGAATGGTTTTGGGGGCGGTTTGAGATCTGAAATCTGAAGGGAGATTCCATGGAAGCAATCAGCGGCAGGAAAGAGGTGAGGTAAGCTAGGGGTGGGTGTTAGATCTAACGCCCTCTTAGGGTGACGCAACCACGCTTGATTCTTTACTGGGGAAAAAAAATTGGATCATGGAAGCTGAAAACCAAGTTCAATTTTTTTAAAAGAAATGAAAGAGGAGGGGGGGGGGGGGAGAGAGAGAAAGGTAAAGAGAGAGAAAAGAATAGAAAACTCATCGGCAAGGCCGATACGGCAACAAAGATGCCCTTGTCCGTCCTTAAAATTCGTAATAATTTTGATGCCGATTTTATAGGTCGGTTAATGTCTTAATTCAGCTTGATACCTCTAGTTATCATTAACTTAAAAATTAAATTAATCACGATAATATGTTAAAACATTTGGAAAATTTTGATTTTAACTTGTAAGACGGTGTAATGAGCAACAAGTGTGTAATCTTTTACAATTTGTTTGCCACATTTGGTTATCATTATTGATTCAATTTAGTACTTCTTTCCCTAATAAGTCATATTAACAATTCAGAGTTGTAAGTTGGGAATTGGGTAACCCCAAAAATTAGCTATTTTGAAGGATAAACGTTGTTCCCAAATTTTTGAGAACTTAGTTTGAGTTTTCATCTCTCTGCTTTTCTTCAGTCTTGTCATCTTTTGATCTCCCAAATCTTATTCTTACATAAAATTACTAAATTTACAGACTACAGGTAAGTGGACTTAGTTTTCTTTTTTCGGATTAAAGTTCAATAAATTGTTGTAGTGTTTTCGTTGGCCAAAAAATTAAATTTCAGTGTTTTCTGTATTGTAGTTGGTTGCCGATAAAAGTGGGGAAAGAAAATAAATTGACGAGACAAAGGAGTTTTTTTTTTTAATTATAGGAAATACGAGTAATAGAAATATACGGGGGGAAGATAGCGTGGAAGAGGGGTGTGGTGGGGATATCCCAAGTTGTTCGGTGTCAGTTACTACTGCCACGCCGCTGGCTGGAGAAATTAATTGGCTCGATTCCCCAAGCAGTTTCGTCCCTCTCGATTTTTTTGTGACCTAAATGACAAAAATGTCCTAGAAGCATCCCCCCTTTGACCCCCACATGGACCACTTTGACTGAGGGCGTTATTGAGTTTTCACCTGTAACCGTCCACGTTAAAAAAGGCAAACTGGGGTTCGATCGTAATTAGGGAGCAGGAGGGAGGGCAGTAAGGGCAATGCAGAAACAGTAAAAACAGCTGGTATTGCTGTAGTTTACCCGGGGATGGGGGGATAATAGTACTTGTGAAGTTGTGAACCCAAAGTGGTGTGGGATCATATGGATCTGACCGTTCGTTAAAAAAAAAAGAAAAAAGCAAGGAATTTGCTTTGGGAATCTTAAAGCCTCAGATTCTATAATAAGAAATCTCTGAGAAACAATATTAAACAAGTGATTTATTTGTTTGTTTGGCGTGTCATGGTCATGTCCTCATGGAAACTTTTTCGCAAAAGAAAATATTAATTAATATAATATTTCAATATAATGGAATATTATGTAGCTTTGGAAATGGCAGGCTGGCATGGACGCTGACATTGGCATCTCACCTCCACAAAATCAATCAACACATGTTTTCACCCTCACGCAATCACACACTATTGCTGCCTTTCTTTTTTCCCCCCCTCCCCACAAAGAAAATAACTATTATACATAATAAATAAAAAGTAAAATTACTTATAATAATATTCCTTCGATCTTTAATATATGACTCAATTCTTGAGTTGGTTTTGGTCGTAAATATAAAGCTCATTTCTTATATTTATCAATTTTCTCTCAATTATCTTATGGATACTCCCTCAACCATAATTAAGTAAAAGAGGAAGAAAAAGTATTAAGAAAAATGATTATGGTGTTTTAGGAAAAATATGTCATTTTTCTTATAATTAACTAACTTACCTAATTTTCTTAATCTAATCAAATTAATTAAATAGATTTATATTAAGAACTGAAAGACTAATATGTTTTGCATTTCGTTTTTATTCATGATTGTCACGATGTGTTCGAATCTTGGTTGGGCTTGTGAGTTCGAATCAGAAGCATAGCCAGAAGTCTTCCAAAGAACAGAAAATGAAGTCACAGATTAACTTATAGGGGTAAACAAGGCGTGATGTTAATTTTGTTCTTTGTCATCATTGATCTTCAATTGTCAAGATCACTGGATAATTCAGAAAGATTCGATTGGATAATTTTATATTATATTTTACAGACTTTTCTTACCATAAAAGTTGAAAAATTTAGCTGCGGATCGCTTTTAAGTTGGCACTAAAATCATTTGCCTTCTGCTTTATGTCAAAATCTTCTCTTGCTTTTTTTCTTTTTAACAGTGTCGTCAACACAAAATGATTTGCAATCAATTTATTTACTGTAGAACGGGATTTGATTGTTGACCACGAAAAGGAATGGGATTTCATGGGGTGATTTTTTTCCCGTTTAAAATTAATTTGTGGATAAAAAAGTGCACCACTTTATGGCTAGAACCGCAAAAATCTTCCCTTTCAAGAATTATCTTTCTTAAAATAGGTATAGATCCCCATTATATCATGCTTTGAATGACTTCTAAAGAATTTAAATGCAAGCATCTGAGTTGGAATTCTGACTAATTTTGTCAATCCGCATTAACAGAAAAGTGATTTTTTTTCCTTTTTCTTTTTGGCCATCAAGAGTGTATATTTTACATATCAGCGAAGTGAGTTACATCACAGCTGAACTGACTGGTTTAATTTACTTGGGAACTTCTTTAAAAATATTTTAAATAAAAAAAATAATTTTCAAAATTTCTTAATCCTAAAGGAAAAACCAAGTTGAGCAAAATTCAACCTCTCGGCCAACTTAATTGATTTAAGCAAGTTAAAAGAAATATTATTATTTTAGAAAATAAACATAACTATGTAAAAGCGATTGAGAGATTGTTCAGAATAAATTAATTGTAAAAAGAAAAAAAAAGGGGGGGGGAATGTGAGGTGAAAATGAGTTTAACGGCTGTAGATGCGGGTGAAGAACTTTAGGCGGATGGAATGGGTCTCATAATAATTAAGAAGGGAATTGAGGTAGGCATGTTCCTTGGATCGGTGGTATATTACTTAGGTACTGTTTGATAAGGACGTGTTATATAGTAGAGTCTTGAGAATAATAAGGTCAAAAAGGTAATCAAACTAGTTTCATTAGCCATTTGTCCCCACCTGGATTCATATTTGTCTTGCTTGCTCGAATCACATCCAGCACACCCATTCACAGTCATTTCAATTATTGAGTTCCAAACTCCTATTTAAGTCACTCTTAATTATTGCTCCTAGCTAGCTCCCTCTTATTTTCAATTATTTCTTTCCTTTTTATTTTTTATCAAACGTCCCTGCCCTCCCTTTGTCCCTTTCTTTTTCCCACGCTTCATAATTTGTGTCTTTTGCTAAGCTCCTCAGGTCAAGCTTATGAATAATTTTCATCAGACTTTTTTTTTTTCTTTTTTCTTTTTGCTTTTTCGCCCCCAAATCTCCATTCCACTAGCTTTTTTGACCCAGAGAAAATTGACTCACTTTGCGTGCCCATGCCTAAATATATAATGCCCCCACAAAATCAAGAAAATTAATGTTCCAAATAGAGTTCAAAATCACGGGACTCAGTTGCAACTTACAATGCTGCAAATTGTAATCTCCACTTTGTTGAACAATAAAGTCACGGTTCTTTTAGTGAATATAAAGTTACAATTTCTTTTAAGAAATACCCATATTTTATTTTAGTTCTTGTTTAGCATTCTTATCCGTTTCTGAAAAAGAAGCTTGCGTATTTATTGATTGTTAGTCAACGGCGTATTTCTATATTTATTATGTACTGTTGAAAAAGGGAAATATTATATCATAACCAAACGATTCCATTTTCTCTAAATATATCCTTTGATGGCTTACAAAAAAAATACAGTTTAGTTCTTGCAAAGCAATCTGAGGGGGGGGGAAATTAAAACCAATGCGTCAAGAGGTTTCAGGCTTGGAAAATAAATTAGTCGAAATTATTTTTTTAAAAATAAAGTTAAATCGTAAATAATATTTGAATATTTAATTTAAAAGGGCCCAAGATGGGAAAAGTGAAAGGAGAGAGAATCGGTGGGGTTGGGTTAGGGCTGGATAGGTGGGCCCAGTAGCCGAATGTAGTTGGGTAAAATCCAAGGACTTCATTTAAGGTGGGCCTATCACCTACCTTGTGAGTAGGCCCATGGTGGGCCCACTTTCAAGGTCGGCCTACGGTCAATGGTCACATCATCGCACGCTTGCGTCTGCGCGAATCATTACGCCATTACCAAATTAAATTCTCACATGTGGCGTTCGTCCATTGGATCATCCCCATA